CGCAGAGCAAAGAAAATGGTAAGTAGAGCATCTTCCAGTAAACGTAGTAACTTCCGTAGTCCCATGACCTATGGCCAGGTACACTCACGGAATGGGCTTCTCTTCCTGTCTTCAAGTTTATCAGAGGTTCTGCTTGCATGCTTAACCCGACCTTTTCCACTGATTGTGTGAAACGACTCTTCTCTTTTGTCACGGCTTTTTCCAAATCGCCTTTCCTGTGAGTCTGTCCAAAATCTATCTTCTTTTCGCACCCTCTGTCTTCCACTTATCCCGCTTTATCTGATACCTCAAACCCTTATCATGCTGAATGTTTTCCTGATTTTTCTATATGAGCACACGTAACATTTCGTGGTTCGAGTATGAAAACAGCTGTTTAACGTCGCAGTAAGCGCTTCGAAAGCTATCACAAGAATGTTGAGATATGAGCTCGAAGTCGAACCCCAGACATGACTCGAACCCGCATCTTGGCTTTTGCCCACAAGTGGGCATTCTTGTGATAGCACACAACTTTACCCAAAAGTCAATTTCAGTATCCCATCGGTGGCATGGGAGACATGTTCTTACTTTGGAAAGAGCACGGTATTTTGCCTGAATCCAGCGTTCGGATATATGGCGCTGAACTCGCCTTAGCTCTGGGTGAGGGATTTATTTGGAAGCCTCTATCTGAAGCTCGAATCGCCTTCGTTCAGACTTCCTGCACAATAGCGATGTTATTTATCGGGATTTGAAGCTTGAGAACATCGTATTGGATTCGATTGGGCATGTGAAAATAGTGGACTTTGGATTGGCAAAACACCTGAAGAGCGGCGAACAAACGAACACCATCTGTGGAACACTGCAGGTAGGAATGTATTTATTACGCCAGGAAATGGAAGATGCAGCAGAGGAACAGGAAGAGAGCAAGAATTGTAATTTGTTCAAATCCACGGTTCACGCTAATCATATAGGCAAAGGGAGTAGCACCTCCTTCTGCGACAGCGGAGTGTAGAGGCGCACCAGATTCGAAAATGTTTGGCTGTCTCCGCCCCCATAACC